CCACGAATATAAGAGATTTTGAATAAGAGGAGATTGATGGAGAGGAGAAGGAGGAGCACCAATGATATTTGGTCTTCTAGTCGCGGCTGGCTTCGTCACTTGAAGACGGACAAAGGAGCCACTGTTTGGGTGAGCGAGTGAGGAAGAGGTGTTCGAGTGAGACGTAAGTATTTATTCTTTTAATATGGTTAGAATATTAAACAAATAAAAATTTTTATTTACAATATATATTTATATTTAAATAGAAAATTGAATTTATGCCAATTTGTATTCATCATCCAATATTAAAATATATTGGAGTAGTCTTGATCTCATAATCATCAAATCTCAATAAGAAAGCTAGTATCTGCTAAGTTAGGGAAGGGGGAACCGGCCTTTATTTTTTAGCGAGCTTATTTTTACCACCTTTCAATCAATTTTAAACCAGTCTACAAGAATAGATAAAATTAATTCTAATCAATTAACCCAATTATCTATATATTATTATATTAATTTTATATGTAAAAAAGCAAAAATTTAATTTATTCTTCAAAAAATAAACTCACTTACATTTTTCATACCGGAGTTTTTCATTTTTTTGCAGGGACAGAAGCAACTAAATATATGCAAAATTATTAACTATTGTGGAGCTTGTGCCATAGGAATCATAAAAAAATGAAAATTAAAAAAAAAAAATGCAAGACGTCCCTATTCTAAATAGAGAAGAGCACCCAGCTTTATGCTTACATTATGTGAAGTTTTTTCCATCAGTAATTATATGCATAAAATTAATCAATAGAAGTTATTGTTGAGAAATTCGTTCATAATTCTATCAGAAATTTACAGGGAATTTTATAAAAAAAAATATATCAGATAATTTATTAAGTAAAATTCTCTCTCACTTTTCCCCTCCCTATTCTACTTACTATATGCTCAAGATTACCTTGGTATCAAAATAGTCAACAAATCAAGAAAAAATTTAGCAAACCGTAAATTTTTATATAACTGTAGAAAACTCCTAAAGCATATTTACAACCTGTATAAAACTCCTAAAGCATATTTACAACCTGTAGAAAACTCCCAAAGCATATTTTCAACCTGTATAAAACTCCTAAAGCATATTTACAACATGATGCCATTCAGGATTATTTTTAGGAAAAGTGGACTATTAAAATAGTCACTAAAATCGGGAGAAAAGTCAAAAGCATCAGAATTTTTCCAATTTTTTTAACTTTTTCTAAATTCTCACCGGTGCGAGTAAAATCTGCGGGATTTTACTCGCACTGGTTTATAAAAAATCCTCGCACTGGTTTATTAAATTGCTTTTAATAAAATCGGTGAGGATTTAGAAAAAGTTAAAAAAATTGGAAAAATTCTGATGCTTTTGACTTTTCTCCCGATTTGATCTTCTTTTATTATTAAAATTTTCAATAATACATCATCTTGCAATATAAAATAAATCGATTAAAGACATTTCCAAAGTGACTAAATAATGGACTAAAAACAGCATAACAATAATGAAAATTGATTTGTTATACCTATGATTCCAATAAATCCCATCCGGTTATAAAGAAAAGGTAAAAACAGAATTCGAATTTGATTGGATTACTAACCATGCGACATTAATAATACCACAATTTTGATGCAACAAATTCAATGTGTAAACTCATTCAAGAAAAATCATAACAAATTCAATGTGTAAACTCATTCTTCAATTGCCCCCCCTGAGAGCCATGGGGTTCCGCCCCTGATAGAAAGGTATGAAGAGATAAGGCGGAGAGGTAGGAGATGAAGTTCAAACAAATAATTTAAAAACAATCTCACCAAAGTTTTGCTAATTTCGGCCAAAAATTTTCAGATTTCATTTATAAAAGAATATGGTAGAGAAGTATGAAGAGATAAGGCAGAGAGGTAGGAGATGAAGTTTTAACATATAATTTAAGAGAAACACCAAAGAAATAAAAACAAGCTCACCGAAGTATTGCTA